CTGCCCCACCAGCACCCCCAGGGCCTTCTGCCTGGGCTGCTCCATCTGCTCATCCCCAGCCTGGATTGATCCCAGGGGTTCTCCTGACCCAGGGGCAGCACCAGCACTTGGCCTTGTTAAACCTCCTGAGATTCCCAGGGGCCACTGCTCGAGCTTGTCCAGGTCCCCCTGGATGGCCCCGTCCTTCAGGTGTGTCTTCAAGTCCCCATTTCTTCGTGCAGCATTTGGGGGGTCAACAGGTTGTGACTGGTCCAAAACAGCCCATTCCCACTATGTGTTTGTCCACCATATAAGCTGAAATTTGTCTCAGGATGGTGTTGTTCTCCCACTGTTAAAAATTCACTGTTTGTTTTTTTTTTTCCCCAAGCAGTTTTCCATTTTGCTGACTGGGCAAGTTTTCCAGCTACATGAGGAGGTTCTGGAAGGATTCAGCCCGTGGTGGGGGGATGCTGAATGAATGTGCTGGGACATCTCTGGCAGCAGAAGGCACCAAGACAGACACGTCACCCTCCACCACCCCACTGTCCTTGCCCTCACACCAAATCCTGAGTACAAGGACTACTCACCATTAATACAGAAATATTTTAAGCTTCCCAACAGGTCCCTGATAGAACTGTGGGGCTTTACAGTCTTGCCCATTGTAGTATATACAGAAAGGAGAAACCAAAATTATTTCTATTTTCCACCTGGCTCTCCTTGTCCTGCCTCCCAGTGGGAATTACACAGCCCCACAACTGGTCACTGGAATCCTCCTCGCAGTGAAAACATAGCAGGTGCTGTGCTAAACCTCAAAATCCTCAGTGCCTGCTTGGAGGAGTGTCCAAATTAAATCAATGGCAGGGTTGATGATTATCACCTTGATCCATCAGCCAGTGAGCAGTTCTGCCACCCAGGGGAAGCTGCTCGTGCTTTGCCTCAGCTTGACAAATTTCAGTGGTTAAATAGCTGTAAATTATATCCCCAGACACAGATCTGTTATTCCACTTACTGTATCCAAAGCCAGTGCTGATGCTTGGCTTCCCAAAGGGACAGTTGGAGTGACTTTTTTGACTGGATCACTCTGTCAGCGTGCCATCCCCAGAAAGCAAAGCTGGGAATTCTGTATTAATTTACAGGATTACATTCACAGAAAATAAAAAAGAAAAAAAAATACACCCACCCCCTCCCACCCACGTGTGAAAGATTTTACAAAGCCAACAGTGCTTTAGAAAGTTTAGCTACAAGCAAGCTAAAACTTTAGATAACACAAGCTCCCACTGCTGAAAAAGTGGAATTTCTTATGCTCTTTGCATTGTGGGAAAGGTTCTGAGTGCTTGGACAGCACAAAGGAGATGGTGTTGAGGGGTTTTGCCTCTGAGAAGCACGGACAGCACTACTGACCACCAGTGTCAAGCCTGTGGATCCTTCTCAGAGCTACAGCTGGTAGAGTTCTGAGTCTCTAGAAATAAAGAAACAACTTGGTTTTCCCTCAGAAAATTGAGAGCAGCTGGGAGAAAATGTTTCTCTCCAAAGCACATTGAAATATTAGCAAGAACAGAACTGACAGACTCTGCAACAAAAATCAGGGAGTGAAATAATAACAGTATCTTAAACAGGATTAAAATAGAACATTTTACTAGTTATTTCAAAGAATAGATTTTTTTTTTTTCTTTCTTCCATCAGTCTTATGTGTATGTCCAGCCTCCAGCTAAATTCCAAACAGCTGTATTTTTTTGTTAGGTACCAAGTGCAAATATGCCAAGATAAAAGAGTTACGAAAAAGAAATACCCGGTGGGGTGTTTTTTTTTTTTCCCTTGTGTGTGATAGGCTACATTGCATTTCTCATGCCTAAAAACAAGCACCATTGCTCAAAATATTTGGTCAGAAACCTCAGCTCGAGAAGGAGGTATTTGACAGAAAGGTCACGTTTACATCGGCAGAACATGCGAACGGCTCCTAAAGACACACATCCCGAGGGGTCTGGAGGAGGAGAACCTGTGGAAAAGGGGCAGCAAACACGAGCACAGCAGCACAAGTCCATTTCCTGCCAGAGCAGAACCATCCCCACCCACATCTTGTGGTGAAGCTTCAGCTGTAGAACAGGGGAAGAAGGATGACACCAATCACTTCCTTACTGATTGAACGTGTCGACTCTTCCAATCTTTCCAGAACAATCCATATGATTCTCGCACCTAGTTTGATCTTATGCTGAAAAAAAGTTGGCACAACACAACAGGACACTTTTTCTGTCTTATATCACACTGGAGAAGAAATACTTTACTCTGTATCAATGCCTTTTGGGTGTTGGTGACTACAAACAGGGGCATTTCTCAGCTCCCTGTTCAAGCTGTGACACAACAACTCGTTACTCTGAGGTACAAACAGAAATCAGAAGCACGTGCCCAAATTTATGGTGTGTATTTTTCAAGTAATGTGCACTGAAAGTCTGGGAAATGACTGTGTGTGTGTGTGTGTTCTGACACCCTTTGCCCTTCACAGATCTGTCTGTGCATATTACCCTCATAAAATATTCCCTTTTTATCCTCTTCCCCCTGCCATCCATTTGTCTTTTCAGCAGGTTTACGTTCACCACTATGGGAGTGGAATGGTGATTGCACTGCTCAACCCAACAGCCAGCTGGGCTTGGAAATGGATCCATCCCCTTCCTATTAATTACACTTTAATGCCTACTTCTATCACCCAGGCTCGTGTATCATCCCGGCTTATTTCGTGGGAATATAGCCATAGGATGACAATTACTGCTGGAGCATAAAAACTGCAGCTAAAGACCATAGAAACAAGCAAACAGAACTGATGTGGGGAGAGATGAAAAGATGAAAAATTGACTGGAGAAGAAAATTGGAACGAGCTCATTTACAGAAGAAAATGAACAAACCACGGCCAGGTAGCTCTGAATATGATTAATTGCTACACATCTCCTTCCTCTTTGCAATTTTTATCTGATTTCATTTTCTATTCTACTTTTCTACGTGGCAAGCGCTGTAATTTCAGGGACTCTGATTCCACACGTTTTCCAGCTGGGCACTGAGCGAAGTGCTCTGTTTGCATGAACTGCTCTATCCCTATCGACTCTGGAATTGTTACTCAAATTTAAGCCAGCCGAGGATTTGCTCCATTGACTTTCATGGATTTATTTTTAATTTATTACTCTGAGTTCAGAATGCAGAGCTCTGGATAATAAATCTCGAACATAAATAGACAATTTTCCAAATCTAAACAGTATAGCCACAAGTACCATACAGAAAAACAAGCTAGGCAGGTATAGAACTGTCTGAAAAGTGAACCAAATGGTGCTGTGCATTTATTAGTAGTTTACTGTTTATTAAAACAAGAAATCCAGATCCAAAAGAACTCTTTAATTTAAACCAAGGATTGTTTAGTGAAATGGGAGCCTGTCAAAAGAGCTGGTGGGGAGGACAATTATTCGGTACAAATGTGAGTGCAAACTGTGTTTGGAGAGTTTAAAGCGTGCCGTTTGTAGACAACGGATGTGCACAACACAAACCTCGGACATCTCCCCTGGGTGACAATAAAAAGCGCAGTTTATTATAAACCGAAGTAAAAATGAAAATAAAAAAAGGAACTAAAATCACAGTTTCGTCATTGGTATGTGAAGGTTGTTCCAAGGGCCCATCCAGAGCTCCTCCTCGTCTGACTGTGTGTGTTCACTGTGCGACTCCAAGGGCTCTTTGACATCCTCGTGGTCAACGACTGATTCCTGCTCTTCTGTGCTTTTCATTTTGGACCCCCCGGGCTTTGTTACTATACTTTCGGCCCCTATAGTAGAGGCAGCAAAGGAGACACTGCAAGGTCTTGTGTTCATTTTGTCACTGGGAGCAGGTCCCTTTGACAACGTGTTCAGTGGGACGCTCTCCTCGTGCGTCACCGCCAGCTTGTCCAGTTTCTTGAACTGTTTCCCCAGCCTCGCCGGAGACGTGGCTTTTAAATTATTGCCGAGGCAGACGCGCCGGGTCCTGACCACGGAGCCGTTCTGGGCGATGTAGATGTTCCCGTTGACGTTGGGTTGCACGCTGGGGTTGCTGAGCCGGTTCCTCTGGCCCGAGTCGGGAGCACTGTCCTCTCCCGTGGAGCTGGTCTCGTACTCCGGGTCCACTATCAACTTGATCCTTTTCTTTTTGGCCCACTGTTTGACGAGAAACAGAAAAGTCGTTACATCTCTCCCCTGCCACTTCTTACATTTCCCTGCCCTTTTTCTATCTGTTAATTAATTAATAACTCATATCAATTTTTCCTAACTCGGTCTGTGCACCTTGGGCTGTGCACGGGAACTGGAAGGCGCTGAGGAGGAAGCTGCTGTGGAGGCAACACTTTCAAGAAACCACTCTAATGTGTAAGTTCTGGGAAGGCCTTACAAGTTTCCTTCCATAACTCCATTGTGGATTCAGTGCAGAAATGGCACTGAGCAGCTCTGCTTTATATGCACAACACATCGAGCAGAGGAAAGCTCGGGACCTCCACAAGGGAAATTCTCAGGCGCGACGTTGGCAAAATTGGCTGGCTATAAAAAGAAGGGCTCAATATAAGGCTCTGTGCCAGGTCCAGCCTGGTGGAATCAATGGAGATGCTTGGCTATTAAATGGAAAATGGTGGAGAAACAAGACTTCAGATTTTTATCTAATTTATATTTTTTTTTTTAAGAATTAATGCAAACAATTTCCACGCTGCTGAGACTTTGTACTAATAGTGATTACCACAGAGTGATTACACAAACCCCACTACTTATTTTAATTATAATTGATCTTTTTAAAATAAATGTCTCCTTGCAGTACACTGAAACGAGCTCCTACCCTTCCTGAATTAATGATTCAAACACTATCAGCAGATACCATCAGTTAACTCCCACTGCAAAACACACATGAACCTGAAAAATGACAGTTTTTAGAGAAAGAAAATCATGCAAGACACAAAGGGGTGGTGATTATTCTTAAGCTTTTGAGAAGTCACACTCGGTACAAATTGGGACTCTGATGCCTATTCCCATTGTTCTTGGCAAAGACATACAATTTTCTTCATATTCTGCTGGATGAAAAGACTGCCTGGTTTAAACAGGAGTCCTGCTGAAACACCCTGTGCAGCTACACCGTTGTGCTGTATGGGAATGCAGAGGAGCAGGCAAGTGATCCTGAAATCGAGTTCAACTAGATGTTTAAATAAAATGAAATGAAATCACTGTACTGTTAGGCAGGAAGGGCAGAAGCTGGGAAATGTGATCCACTTCCTTTCCTGACCCAGCTCACCAGGTGCCCCTCCCTCTGCACCCCTGTCTCGTGCATCACTGGTGTTTGCAACCTGAATCCCACGATCCAGAACCAGTTCAATCCAGCTCTCCCAGTTATACTCTGCAGTTTTGGGAGCCTTTCTTTGCTGCAGTTTCCCTTGTCCTGCCTGCAAACAGGGCTGATGTTGCCAGCAGAGAACTCACCTGAAGATGAGCAAATGTATAGTAGAGGATTGTGAGGTGAAAATATGTGTGATTTTAAAATTTGTTCATCCTCATCATTCCAGTTCTCCCCTGAATCCCATGTTTTGCCCCACTTCCTTCCTGCAGTGTTCCCTTTTGTGTCAGACTTATGTACAAACACAGGGTTTGTGCCCTCAGGTTCGGTGAGCTCCGTCACAGCCACTGCAGAACACGACCTTCCTTTGCTCCATGACATGTGTGATGCAAAAGGAATAAACCTAAGGATCATCACAATGCATCTTCATCTATATTATGGAAATCAGCAGGAAAATAAAGCACTTCTTCCTGCCATTGCTCCACGAAAGTTAATCTTTATTCACCATGAATCACTAAGTGTTTATATATAGTGTGTGTGTGTGTATATCTATCTATCTATCTATCTAAAACATGTATATTCCTCTCTGACAGTTTGGTTTTCTACAGTTCCATCCTTAAGACAGTCAAAAGCTGAATCAATAAGCTTTGCCCTTTTCTCTTTGGCTATCTCTAGTCAGTAGAAAGACCACACAGAAGGCACAGCAAACAAATCCACTCCTCACTGCAAACCATGCACCTACTGTCACTCTGCTTTAGAAGGACGTGGAATCCCCCGCAGCCTCCGACTCCGTGACTCCAGTCTCCAGGCTCTCACCTGACTGAGACTGACTCTGTTCCTGGGACACCTTTTTTCCCTTTTTCACTCTTTTCACGTTGGGACCTTTGGAAATCCCACTGATTTCACTTTCTAGGCCAGAAGATTCATTCTTACTGAGAGTTTCCTCCCTGTCACTACCATCTGTGTCAGCCTCTTCTGCGCTCTCCTCCTCGCTCTCCTCACCACTGACAGCTGATTTCCCTTTCTTGCCCTCTCCAGGTTTTGCAGATGTTTTAGAAGCTGCCTTGCTTGAACTATCTGCTGTCTCATCTGCTTCTTCCTCTTCTTCTGACACCTCTTCTATGGTGTCTTCTATCCCGACGCTGGCGGAGGAGGTTTTGCTCTTGTAGCTGGATCCTGAAGTTTTCCTGTAGCTTGTGTCCCTGTCACTGCCTGATGCAGTAGAGCCGCTGGATTTCTGGCTGGAGCGTCTTGCTCTGCCATGAGAGCTCCCTCCCCTGCTTTTTGTACTGGACATTTCAGTGCTTCTGATGCTGCTGGACTCGCTGGTCCCTGATCTGCTGTAGGAACTTCGTGTGGATGAGCTCTTTGACAGGCTACTATCCTCATCGCTGTCCGAGTCTTCCTCGTCATCGTCCTCTTCAGATGAGTCTTCCTCCGATTCACTGCTGGAGCTGGACTCAGAGTCGTCCTCAGAATCCCCCAAATCCTGCCCAGTTTCTTCATCCGAGTCCACGGTGCTTTCTGTGGCTTCATCTTGGTCCAGAGTTATTTTCAAGTAGTCTTTGTCTTCCGACTCCGAGCCGGAGCTGCTGCTCTTCTCAGATGACTCATCTGAGGTGTGTCTCCTTCTCTTCTTCTTCTTCTCATAGTCACTGTCCTCCTGCTCACTCTCTGCTGTGATACTTATGGAAACTCCTGATTTTGCTTCCTCTCTTTCAGACTCCTCCTCTCTACGTGCCAAATCCTTGCCAAGAGGCTCCTGAAGTTTCCTGGAGACGCTGATGCGCTTTAACACATGATTTAGTTTCCTCATGGAAGGTCTGTCATCTGTGGATTTCTGGAAGTAGCTTCCCCTGATGATCATGCTTTTGTCTCCGTCTGCTTGGCGAGCCGACATCAGCTTGGCATAGTTGGAATCTTTCCTACTGCCCTTCACTTTCTGCAGGATCATCGGGAATATCTTTGCTTTCTTCCATCGGGAACGAGCGGACTCGGCTCTTCCCACCGGTTTGTGAGCACTGACTGCTACACGACTCACATGCATCACTGCTTTCAGTCTCCTTTTGCCCTGGCTGGTCCTGTACGGTCCAGGACCACGCCTTGGGTCCATCCCACCACCTAAAGGTCTAGCTGCTATTTGAGCCCCTGCTGCCTGGCTTATCCCTCTGCTTGGAGCACCTCTGACTTGACTCATCCCCTGCAAATCATGAAAATGAATTGATTACCATCTGAAAGACAGTTATAGCAAAAGCCTGTACCCTAAAGAAAGTCAATAGGAACAAACACACCATTTTTTCCCAGCAGCAAAACTAACTTACCTGTTACAGAATGTTTTTTTTTTTACCAAAGTTATGAGGAAAGTTTTACTTGTAGAACAGGCTGCAAGTGCACAACTAACTTACTCTGCAACAGGGAAAAATACTGGCTCAGGAATGTTATTTCTTCTCATTTAATAACGGATTAAGAGTCTAGGATTCATGAAAATTAGATTTTTTTTTAAAGGAATCTTTACTTCCACTTTCTTCTTCTTGTTGCCACTGACATTTCAAATTTTTTTTACATTCAGTTGTGAAATTTATGATAATGAGTTCAGGTACTGCTTTGCTCAGTGGAAAGTCATCAGTTTTAGGTGGAATATTAGTATCAGAACCATTGAAACACAGAATGGTTTGGGTTGGACCTTAAAGATCATCCAGTTCCACTAGCCCAGGTTGCTCCAAGCCCCGTCCAACCTGGACTTGGACACTTGCAGGGATCCAGGGGCAGCCACAGCTTCTCTGGGCAACCTGGGCCAGGGCCTCCCCACCCTCACAAGGAAGGATTTCTTCCCAGTATCCCATCTAACCCTGCCCTCTGGCAGTGGGAAGCCATTCCCCCTTGTCCTGTCACTCCAGTTCCTGATGAACAGTCCCTCTCCAGCTTCCCTGTAGCCCCTTCACACATCAGAAGGTCCCCTCATTTGGTTAACGATATAAAATGGAATTACCTAAGGCTACGTGGATTTTTCTTTGAACTGAAAATCTACATTAAGGGGAAAAAATAGATGTGGATATTCAAAGAAACTTGGCAATTCCTTTCTGTTTCTAGGAAAAGGGAAAGAGGTGCTGACACAAACTTTTAGGGATCATCAGAAAGGCAGACAAAGCTCAGCATGGAAGAGACGCTTATCTGGTCTGTGAGGAACGTTGGTCTAATCAATAACAACATACATCTGACAAGGGTTGGTGGTGCTTCACCCTGCTGCAGAGGCAGGCTCAGCACACCAGAGCCTCTCACCTCTTCGGCTGTGGGTCCATGGGGACTGTAGTAGTAGCCACCGTCGCTCTCCACCACCACCTCCCCGTACTCGTCGTACATCCCCGCCGGGGACAGCAGCCGGCGGCGGCTCCCGTACTGCGGCAGCTCGTACCTGCCAGAGACACCTCGTGAGCACCAGCACAGCCGTGTCCCAGCACACAGCAATGAATCACACATCACAGAAACAGCTGAGCTGGAAGGGACCCACAAGGATCATCCAGTCCAACCCTCAGCCCTGCACAGGCCCATCCCCAAGAGTCACACCCTGTGCCCCAGAGGATCAGCCAAACCCTCCTGGAGCTCTGGCAGCCTTGGGGCTGTGTCCACTGCCCTGGGGAGCCTGGGCAGTGCCAACCACCCTCTGGGGGAAGAACCTTTGGCTGAGATCCAACCTGACCCTGCCCTGACACAGCTCCAGCCATTCCCTGGGTGCTGTCCCTGGTCCCCCCAGAGCAGAGCTCAGTCCCTGCCCCTCCTCTGCCCCTGCCCAGGCAGTTGGAACTGCCATAAGCTCTCCCTTCAGTCTCCTCTTCTTCAGATGAACACACCAAGTGCCCTCAGTGTCCTCACT